GGAATTTTTTTTCTTCTTGTCTTTTTTTCATTCTTTGCTTCAATAATTATAGAAACGTATCGCCCGCTATCATGGCTCTATCGTGAGTTTATTGATTGCTGTGCAAATTTCACATCTTTTCACAAACATTAAAAGTTCAGCATCAGCAGTTTCAAGATCAGTCAATCCCCGGGGCCTCTATGTTACTAAATAGACCATTTTCTTTTACAGACCGAGTGTATTGATTTTGTTGATTTCCAATGCGTCAGTTTTTAGCCTAAAACAACCCCAGTCCTGGCCCATACATCGTTTATTAAATATAATCTTTTGTCCTTCTTATAGGAATCCTTCTTTCCTTTATAGTTGTAGTTAGAAATGAGTCGTGCAAACACGCTGAGTTAATGAGCAAAGCCTGTAGCGCTGGCTGGAATCAGGAACTTGAAGGCCCGCGGTTTCGATCAAACTTTTTTCTATTTCACGCACCATTAATTTACAAGTTCGATTTTATTCATACGAGATCTTTCCCAGAGGAAAGTTTCCCTGTCCTTTAATTGCGTATACTAGTTGATCCAGAACCCAAACAGTAAAAAATAGGTGAGAGAGATGAACCATACAATTTATAATGTAGCTTTATAAACCCTCTGTGGATGAATGACGTGCTTGTCAATCTTGAGATTTAGAGAGTTCTGGACGGCCCATTTCTTTGTCGAATAAAACATTTTGCAAGCTTAGGCTTCCGCTGAAGAAAACAGGCGAAAAACTTTTTTTTTAAAAATAGCAGAAAAGTTGTTTCGCCAAAAATGACAGGTCATAGAAATATCACGGAAGATTTTAAAAAAGCAATGCTTTTAGTAAAACGGGTTCCTCATTCTGCAGACTCATGAGCACAAGGAAGACCGAATGCACAGCAAACGTGGTTTTGTTCACAGGGTACTGAATAAAGGGACACATTTTTAAAAGAAGAATCATAACAGGTGATGAAACATAATTAGAGTGCATTTGTGGGATCCTTAACTGGCCGAAGCGGACATGGTCACTGTATTTGAACGATGGCTTCACCGGAAGTAAAAGTGCTTTTGGACAACGGTTTCTATGTTGAAGAATATAATATAAATATATATTTATATATATATATATATATATATATATATATATATATATATATATATATATATATATATATAAATATATATATGACTCTTTTCGTCTAAGCAGACGGTCACTTTAGCTTAAGACTTAAGATGGTCTCAAGGCTGTCTTCAAGCAGCTTCTTTCATGGCTAATTCTTCCTATGTTTGAAGCGCAGATTCTGTTGCAGTGCTTGCATGTCAGTGTCGTAGATTGAAGCTCTGTATTTCCGCTGTTTTCCTTTCGCCGTTGGCGCTTCTCAGCCTGGTGGTTTCTAAGGCTGTTCTCTAGTATTTTAGTTCTTTCCTTTATAATATTGCTCCATGTTTTCCGGTCCTCAGCTATTTCTTCCCAAGTGTTAACATCTACTCCAAGCTTAGATAAGCTGTTTTTGCAGTGTCTTTGTACCTTAATTTTGGTCTTCCTCTTTGTCTCTTTCCCTTGGCTAGTTCTCCATAGAGAAGTTGCTTCGGGATCCGGTTGTCATCAATTCTCTTGACATGGCCAAGCCATCTCAATCTTGTTAAACACAGGATATTTGTCATGCTCTGAAGGTTTGTCCGTGCCAACACTTCAACATTTGTAACCTTGTCACGTCACAAAATGCCTAAGATCTTGCGGCAGCATCTGAGATGGAAAATGTCGAGGCGCTTTTCTTGTCTGCTGTACAAGGTCCATGATTCAGACCCATAAGGGAGTGTGCTGAGGACACATGCTTCGTAAATCTTCATCTTTGTTTTGATGGTTAATCTTTTGTTTTCCCTTGCTCGTTTTGTCAGCCTTCCAAAAGTTGTTGCTGCTTTCCCTATCCTGATGTTGATCTCATAATCAAGTGATGTTGTAGAGCTGATGGTAGACCCCAGGTAACAGAACTTGTCCACTGTCTTAAGTTCCTTGTCGTTCAGCCATATATGGCTCTGCTCTGCACCTTCTTGGGTAAGGATGTCTGATTTTTTAACACTGATGACCAAGCTAAAGACTTTGCATGCTGTTGATAGGCGGTCCATCATTGTTTGTAGGGTTGATTAACTGTGAGCAACAAGAGCAGCATCATCGGCAAAGAGAAGGTCTCGTACTGTTGTTTTGTTGTTCTTGATTTTGGCCTTGAGTCGAGCAAGACTGAAGAGTGACCCATCAGTTCTCCAGTGGAGGAGGACATCCCCTAGTGACTCTTTGAATGCGTGTTGCAGTAAGACAGCAAAATAAGTGCTAAAAAGGGTTGGTGCTAAGACACAACCTTGCTTTATTCCACTTCTGATGTTGAAACTGTTTGATGTTGAACCGTCAAACTGAATGGTGGCCTTCATATCTTCGTGGAATGAGATGATGAGCTGTTGCAGTATTGGGGGACAGCCAATTTTTCAAAGCACCATGTACAGTCCTGATCTACTGACTGTATCAAAAGCCTTTGTCAGATCGACGAACGCAGTATGTAATGGCAGTCGTTGCTCCCTGCATTTTTCTTGTAGCTGACGAATAGAAAAGATCATGTCCATTGTTGAGCGGTTTGATCTGAAACCGCATTGGCTCTCTGGTAGGACTCTTTCTGCTGGTTTCTGAAGTCGCTTCAGGATGATCCTAGTGAAAGCATTTCCAGTGATGCTTAGCAGTGAGATACCTACATATATATATATATATATATATATATATATATATGTGTGTGTGTATACAAGATTTCATATCTATAAATTAAAGATAGTTGATTTTACAGAACAGAATATTTTTATGTGGACAGCCCTCTTGCCTCTCCCTACAACGGTATGATAAAACAAAATTATAATCAATTTTATTCTTTTCTGCTTTATTCTCCTTTTCTTTGCTTATTCTGTCCCCTGGATAAAGTGCTTATTGTGCATAGGTATATAGTTTTTTAAAACATTAATTAAACCCCATAAAAACTAGTGTCTTCATTCGGACTCTCCTTAGTTACGCACAGAATGCGCGAGTTCGTTTCTCGAGTGGGTAAGTTATGCTGTTAATTTTTTAAAGTCAAGTATTGCAGCCTGTCTGCTGGGATATACATTGCACTTATAGTACTAGCCCGTATTCCATTGACCTAGCCATGGTTTGATAGGGTCGAAACATTTCGCCTCCGAAATGATCTTAGTGCCGACAGGGGAGAGGGGAGTTAAGTGTGTGTATGTGTGTGTGTGTGTGTGTGTGTGTGTGTGTGCTTGTGTGTGTGTGTGTGTGTGTGTGTGTGTGTGTGTGTGTGTGTGTGTGTGTGTGTGTGTGTGTGTGTGCCGCCCGTGTGTGTGTGTGGGGGGGGGGGGGTGGATTAAAACAAGCCAGTCTCGATCTCCGAGTCTGAGGAGAGAAATTCCTGCTCTAGAAACTCTTCTTCAGAGAATAGTTGCACCAATCTGCCTTAATAACTGGCAAATGCAGATGGCCTTGCTTTACGATCACCCCAGAGAGCTCTCCACAGGAAAGTTCAAGTTTTAGCCTAATTCATGCGCATTGGCTTCTGTGACGTAACAGCTCGTCGCGTCGCCGCTGCACGCAGAAAACCTGAGTTCGATTTCGATGTGTGGAGAATTTTTTATCGAGTATCTCGCCTTTCTGCTGGGACCAGGGGCGGCTCGTGGGTCTGAAAAGTGGGGGTGCACAATTAAGCTATCTTAGGCTGAAGATAATCAAGGGCAGAGTAAATGGGATGGTGTATAATTTTAGGATCTTTGGGTTGGTGAAGGAAGACCTTGTGCTTCTATTTTAATTCTTTTTACTTATGGCTTTGACTTCTAGAACTAAATCTGTTTGTTAGCTAAACGTCAGTTTCATTCATCCTTCATTAGAACTGAACACTCAAGTAATACCTTTCACCACTCCACTACAAAACCGTTCCAAAGCACAACTCATAGGAAGGTGACTTAAGTATGTCACGTTCACCTCCCTCAGGTTCACGGTCACAGAGTCACTTAAAATAGCGACAAGACAATGAACCAATCACAATTCACTTGAGCACCCCTCTGGATTGCTCCGGGGCCCCCATAATTTTGGCATGGAATAGTGCACAGTCTAAGGCCTTTATTTTTAGATTGCCTACTGTGGGCTATGTTTCGGCACTATTCGGCAGGAGCACATTTGAGATGTGCCGTCTTATTAATATTAATGTACCGCCAAATTTTCGACGAGTGTCGCCATCGCTTGGGTAATCCCAAAGAGCGATTTATAGGTAAGGTTTTCACTGTTGACTATCCTGTTATGTTTAAATACAGCGCATGAACTTAGGCATGGCATAGTAGATGTTTTACGGCGCTATAGAATAGAAATGACAATTACGGGGCCAGCGAGGGCCTTGTTTTTATATAATATTTGGCTAGTGTTTGTTTCTGGCGTCTTTTATTTTATTATTGTGGGTGGTTTACGTCATAGAACATAAAAAAATTTTGCGCAGCACTGCACGGCCGTGCTCTGTGGACGAACCGCGCCTGGCTGGGACATTATATTCGTGTTAACCCGGGTTGGCCCTGACAGGTTGGGCCAAAGAACGCCTCCTAAATGATTTAAATTGTGTGGCGATGGGGGCGATATCACACATACTTAACCCACCCCCCCCCCCCAACCCCAGACAAAAACCACAATAAAAAACAACAACAAAACAACCCCCCCCCCCAAATATAAATAAATAATATAAAAACAACAAATACAACAACAACAACAACAACAACAACAACAACAACAACAACAACAACAAAAACACCAACATATGTAGCGGGTGCATTCATGGTGAAATTAATTCAACTGTATTATTGTCCCCATATCTCCCTAGCATTGGAGAGGTAACTAACAGACATTGATAATTATTGATTATCGACAGAGGTTAAAAATTGGATTATTAGTTTTAGAGTGTTCGCCGTGTGACGTTTCTTGTCCAAATACGACAGAGACAGAGCGTTAGAGGGTCCACTTTCCTGCAAGGAAGAATTCTTATAGAGTGGCGTGACCTCTTGTACACAATGACAGGCCTGCAAAACTGTGTTACAAAAGTACACCTTTAACATTAAAATCTAGTCCTGAAATAAAAACTGGCCCCAAGACAATCCACAGACTGCACATTTCTCGTTTGGAAATCCTGTAGGAAATCTATAAGTTTAAGCAGAAGCTCACTGATACGAGAACTGTCATACCGTGCATGGAAACCGCAGAAGAGGCAGACAGCAATAGAACACAGGGATAGTTTATAGAAGTGCGACCTACCAGTGGACCCCTCCAACCACCTGCCCCGTAGTTCTAGCAAGTCTTTGGCCAGAACAAAGAAATACAAAGATGATTTTAGGTACTTTATCCCTTACTCTCGCGACGAAACTTCTTTTCATGTGTACAAGTGCCAGTGAAAGCGTCGAGGGACTTATTTTCCAAAAGGAATATTGCACAACAGTAGCGGACGCAACGACGCGTTTGTCGTTCACCACGGTATCTAGTAGGTCAGGATGTGCCGTGATGTGCATACCTCCTTGTGTATCTTTTCTGGTGAGCGAGGTGAGTGTTGGAAGTGTGTTCCAGTGCGCACTGTTGTCGGACACTCTCGATCTTCCCGCTAGCACCGACTGCACGGATGTGGCGGCGACGGTTGGTGTGTACATTGACCTTGACTGTCCCGTCAAGGTGAGTCTGACTTTCTTTCTACTGTATCCTGTTCATAAACTCGAGATACCTCTTTGTTTCTTGTCTCTGTCGGTCTGTCAGTCTGTCTGTTTGGCTACACACACACACGCGCGCGCACACACACACACACACATCTATCTATCTATCTAAAACCCAATCATCATTTGTTTCAAGCGGTATCAGCTCAATAGACATCTTATTTCCATTCTAATCCTTAAATTCATCAATTCATCTTTTCTGTTTCTCAAATTGACGACAGATGAGAGAGCACCGGTAATGCCGTGTCATGCTAGATGTAGGCTGAATTCTGTTGACCCAGACTCAGATTCTTAACTTTGGTTCACAGGTTGCTAGTCTGCGACTTTGTTGTTGTTGTTTTTTTATAGTAGAAGGTTTTACAGCGCTCGCAACTGCATAAGGTCATATGAGCGCCAAGGGGTGGGTGTCAACAGAGAAGTCTTTACAGGGAATCAGACTTATTCTGATCACTGCTCACCTCTCTAGCTTCAACAGCACAAGGTCTGCTTCGACTATCAAGGCGCCCCAGAAATAGCAGGTCACAAGAGAGTGACAAACATACAAAAGAAGTAGAGGAAATGATAATAGTAAGGATTAAGAAAGAATAAGCAGCAGTTCCCTGTTGTAGACCAGGTACAGTTATGAGCGGGACATGAATCAGCCCATTTACAATGTCAATTCTACTGTGCTTGAACGATAAATGTCCCCTCTTTGGGAATGGCCTAATGACACTACAGTCAGTGGCACTGCCCGAGATCACTAACGTAATGTTGGCGTAAGCATCACAATAATCAGTCTTTCTCATTGTGCGTGCCCTCTCCCCATGTACTTCTGTCCTGGGCTATAATAGTCTCTACCTCTGTCCAGTTTCATCTCGTCTTCTATAGGTTGGAATCTCAGTGTCCTTTTCAAATACGTTTAGGCCCTCCTTTACATTTCTTGTCTTGTGAATTCCATCTTTAAACTTGATGTGTAATAACTATCATTTTTCGTTTTTCTCAAGATGTGCCCAATCAGCTTCCATAATTTTTGTTTCTGATTTCTATGAAAATGTCTATTTATTCCTATTGATGTGTTTGCTCCCATAGTCGTTCATTTTTTATTGTGTCAGGCCAATGAATCTTTGAATTCTATTTAGCTTAGTGTGAACGTATACACAAGTTTTTCGACGAGAACACTACTGGTAGTGTGTCAACAATGAACTCTATTTTTCTAAAGTGTAAACATGTACACACGTTTTTCTACGAGCACAGTGGTGTGTTTGCTCGCATAGACGTTCATTCCTTATAGGCTAGTGTCATGCCAATGAACTTGTGAATTATAGACTATTTTTCTAAAGTGTAAACACGTACATAAAGATGTGCTCTCGGTTTTTCTACGAGCGCAGTCTCCATGGCCGGAGTGCACCAGTGACTGCGATGCCGAGAGAGTTGTGGGCGGCACCAAGTACTGTCTGAGAAACCGATACTCCAGACAGACCCAGCCGGCCGCCCGGGCGACTTGTCAGGCCGAGGGGGGAGACATAGCAGAGGCCGAGACCCTGGACGACGTCGCCTTCTTACGCCAGTTCGTTAGCGTTGGTGAGTAGCAAAACGATTGCAACAGCAGCAGAAGTAGCACCAGAAGCAAAAACAACAGTAATAGCAACTGCAACAACAACCAGATCAACAATAATATCAACAGCAACAACAATAACAACAAGAGCAACAAGAATATCAACAACAGCAGCAGCAACAACAACAACAACAGCAACAGCAACAACAACAACAACAGCAGCAGCAACAACAGCCATGGCAACAGTAGCAAAACAACACCAACAACAACAACAGTAACTACAACAGCAAAAAACTCAGCAGCAGAAGCAATAACAGAAATAAAAATAGAAAATAACAAACAAAGCTACTACTACTACTACTACTACTACTACTACTACTACTACTACTACTACTACT